TCCCTTTACTCTTTCCTTCCCTCTTAGTTATCTTCAGGGGCCGCCCTTTCACCCAGGCTTCAGCGGCAGCCCCAAACCATCCATGCACTCGTGTCATTTCGTAAAAGCTTGTCCACTCCCCCCCCCTTTTTCCTCTCCCTTTTCAATCATTCCACTCCTCTAAGCAATTCCCTTCTTCCCATGATCATTCTTCTTTTCCCTGTAGTTCCAATCCTTTTTAAGCGCAGAAGAAAGAAGAGGCTTGGAGTATCTCGCTCTTTTGTGCGGACGATATCAGAGCCTGCAATGATGTTTCCCTCCGAAAGGGAGGAGGTACCGGTTGCTTGGAGGCTGCGCGGCCTGGAAGTCACCTCCCAAGAGGCAGGTTGGCCGCTATATCTCTAGGGGGAGCAAAGAGCTCCTTCTAATTTGCTGCATGCAGCTTTGCGGTCACACCGCTGGAGCATTGGATGAAGTAGCGCTAGTGTAGATCAGCGCTGTGGGGAAGAGGAGCGCCCAGAGCTCCACTTCGGCTATGGTAACGAAGCTCAGGTAGGAAGAGGAGGAAGAAGGGGACTAGGAGAGGGGAGTGCCAGGGGTACTTACCTGGCTATGGTGAACGCGATCTTCATCACCTTGGTAGGCGCTGCATCTGGATGGCCCCGGTTGGGGTAGTGCTGCATCGCAGAAGCTTCAAGGCAGAGTCAGGCATGGCGACCTGAGAGGAAGAGGCCATAGATAGTTTGCATTGCCTTTTGGCCACCAGGGTGAGGCCCTTAGTAGTTCTCCATAGCCTCAGCCTGGATGAAGAAGAGAGAGGAGGGCGGCCATGACTATGGTGGACCTCTTGTTGTGCTGGCAGTAGAAGAGTGATTCGCACATTGATTCTGGTTCAGCCATTCATCATCACTATTATTATTTATTGTTTGAATACAAGAGGAGGAGATAAGGAGGAGGAGTTGGTTGGAAAGGAGGAGGGGGAATTATCATTGGTTCTTCTTCTTCTTCTTCTTCTTCTTCTTCTTCTTCTTCTTCTTCTTCTTCTTCTTTCCCTCTCTCTCCTATCAAGTTCATTCGTTTCTTTTGCAATTGGACGGCATTGTACTTTCTCATGAATTTGCACTTTGAAATTGGCCAGGATTGTAACACATCAGAAGAAATTATGTGATCTGATTAGCTTACCAGCAAGGCCATGGCTACTTGTCCCATGGTCTTGCACTGCTGATGGCTCAAAGGTTGCAGCATCTCGCATGGTCACCATTGGAGAATTCATCGACTTTTCCTTCAGTTTGGAGCAAACACCTCCACATGTCAAACACCAAGTCACTGTGATGAGTTTGTCCTCGGCAACAGGATCCAAACCATCACTATTTCTGCTAGCTGTTGTTTGCGCGTCATTGCCGAGTGCCTTTGACCCTTCATGCTTGCCTGACTCGTTATCCCTCTGTTCTGTCTCGTCTCCTGTTGCCACAATCTTCTTTTTGTCCAGCCTTCCTCCCAGAAGCTCGTGTTCCTCAGCAAGCCTCACACAAAGAAAGATGTGCCCACTCTCTGTAAACTTGAAAGAATTTCCAATCAGATTGATTAAGATCTGGATGCCAGAGAACTCACAGTGAGAGACAAAACAAAGCAGGAATAGACAATATCCACTTTCCTACGTAACATTTTAAGCATATCCAATCTCCGCTTGCAATCAGATAGCTTTGTCATCTGTCCAACCTCCACTTCATTTTAGGCTGTTCTTGGGCCTCAAGTGATACCAGACAGGCGACTCTTGTTTAGCTGAAAGGAACAGCTTTCACATAGAGATAATGGAAGAACAGCGGTGAGCATTGGCAAATCCTTCCATCTCAGGAAGTAAACCATTCCGCTGTCTCAGCTTCCTCGGCCATAACGGAGGAAAGAGTGGCATGGGTTATTTGTGTACGGGACACTGAACTGAGTTTTCAGCAATTGTGATGACCCGCCAAAACACAGACTGAGAACACTGCTGATTTCTGGGATTTGGCGCTGGAATGAATGCCTTACTGAGATTCCCGCATTCTGCTGTGGTTTCCAAGTCTGTGTGCGTGTGTGTGCCTGCTGGTTTGTGTGGCTGTCTGAGTGCTTGTCGGCTGAGTGTGTGTGTGACCCCCAAGGGTACTTGTTGGTTGAAAGGCCCCGCAGGGCCGGTACTTACCTGTGGCCGTGACTTTGAGGGTTGCAGCGTGGAAAACACTCAAGTAGAGCGTGGAAAACACTCCAGTAGCGAGGCAGCGGGAAAAAACACTGAAGTAGCAGGTAGGCCAGTACCACTCACGTAGTAGCAGAAGTGTCGGGTACTGGAGGCCGAGCAGAAGAAGACAAAAAGTTGGCATTTTTAGAGGCCCAGTAACGGTAGGTTAGAGGTAGGCCGGTACCAGTCCAAGTAGCCTGAGTCTAGGGCCTGTCCGGACGATAGCAGAGCCTGCAATGATGTTTCCCTCCGAAAGGGAGGAGGTACCGGTTGCTGGGAGGTTGCTCAGCCTAGGAAGTCACCGCCCAAGAGGCCGGTAGGCCACTATATCTTCTGGAGGAGCAAGCAGCTCCTCCTCATTTGCGGTATGCAAGGATTGGCGACATGCTGCTGGAGCCAAGCGCTGGACTTGTGCAGCGCTGCCTGGAGGTGAAGAGCAGCTGGGCACTCAGCCTGGCTATGGCGAGCAGCCCAGCCTGAGGAGGAGGAAGAAGGGGGCGAAGGAGGAGAGTGGCGAGGTACCTAGCTGGCTACGGTGGACACCATCTTCATCACCTTGTTGGGACACGCGGTTAATGGAAGGCCCAAAATTCGGGGTTTTTCGCTGCATCACTACAAGCAATGTCGTCGAAACTTTTGCAAACAAACGATGCAGGCTCATAATACAAACATCAAAATACCAAAGAGGCAAAAGAAAACGAAAAGAAAAAACTGAACAGCATTATAAAACCCTATTCGAAGTAGCTTTCGAAGTTCGCCAAAACGTTTCCCGAATTCGGTGTTTTTGCCAAGTTGGGGTAGTGCCGCACAAGGAAGCTCGAGGCAGAGTCAGGCATGGCGGCTTAATCAGCAGCGGCATAGCTGCTTTGGGTTGTCCTTTGGACAGGCGTGCAGCAACATAGCTGCTTTGTGTTTTCCTTTGCACAGGAGGGCAGATCCCTCAGTAGTCCGCCATAGCCTAGGGCCCTAGGCATGTGAAAGGTGGAAGAAGGGGGGAAGGCATAGGTATGGTGGGCCTATGGTTGTGCCAGCAGTAAGAGGGAACTTCGGATATTGATTCTGGTTCATCCACTCATTGTTATTATTATTATTGGAAGAAGAATAAGATTGGCGAAGTGAAGGAGGAAGAGGAAGGTGGAGAGAGAAGGGGGGTTTGTCATTGGTCTTGTTGGTGTACATCTTCTTCTTTTTCTTCTTGTTCTTTTTCTTCTTCTTCTTCTTCTTTCTCTCTTCTTTGGTCTCCATCTCTTTGCAAGTGCTTTCATTTCTTTCGCAATTGGGTGGCATTGTCTTTCATTGTGAATTTGCACTTTGGGAATGACCAGGATCGTAACAATTGGTATCGGAGCGGACTTACTTGCTGGCGAGAGGTGTTAGTCACCCTAAACCTAATTCCGAATTAGGTTAGGACTGTAGGGTCGACATCAGACCTGACCAGGTTGCTTGTGTGATTGAATGGGGTGGCGAGACACAAAGGAGGCTGATTGGAGTAAGCGAGAGGGAGTAGAGAGTGAGAGGTACCCGCTCCTGGAATCTGCACTTCAAGAAGACATTGAGTGACTTTTGGGCTTCCCCTCAAGAGGGAGACTTGATCGGAGGCTGCCATATCTGCATCGAAGAGCTGCAAGCTGCTACCTTGGTCTTCAAACATCGACGGAGGATCCGGTGTTGTAATAGGGTTGTAGGGAGGCCCTCTTAGTCATGCTAGGACACTTCGTGTAGTGGTAGCTACGGGTCAGGAGGACCTATGAGAGAGAGGGGCGAGTCGTTATCCGTCTTTGGAGGCCGGGCCTCACAGGTAAGTGTTGTGTGACCTGGGTATGCCCGTGGGAGGTTGCTTGGTACTTCATGGCCCGTTGGGGTGTGCTGGGCTGTCTTCCTCTTCTCTACGGTCTTGGTTGTGTGTGTGAGCATGTGGATTGCTTTCTCACCTGATGGATGGATGGATGGATGATGTATCTTGTTCTCAACGACATATCTTTCTACAGTGCATTGTCTTTTCACTTCTGAACGGCTGTAGGGGTAGGTTCTTGCTGAAAGTTGTCTTTTCCTTTTCAGTATGGTAGAGGCAGTTTGGGACTGACTTGATACACCTATCTCATTGGTCCTGGTCCACGACCTACTTGGGACCCTTCGGGACTCAGTGGGACCAGGCCTAATGGGACAGGACCTTTAGGACCCTAATCTTTTGCCGTCAATGCATCTCTTTGCTGTGCTGAATTTGGGGGACACATGACTAGTAAGGACATTCCTTTCAAGGGGATCTTGACTAGTCTTACCGCATGTTCTCACATACTGCCCTGTGTCTGGCTCGGTGACCGTCTGCACCCCTTGAAATCTCCATTGCTGCAGTTAGTTTTCTTCGGCTGACTTATTGTGGAACATGTTCCTTGTCAGGTTAGATAAGAGGGGATCTCCAGCTAATCTGATCGGGCCCGTTTGTTAAGTCACTCCTTTCTTTCGTATTTATTTATTTATTTATTTATTTTTATTCTGCTGTGTGAATGCCATTCTCTAAGTCCAAATGAATTGCCGCTCCGACTAGGAGTTCTACCTTCTGCTCTTTGTGAATTATTGTTTTTCTTTTATCTGAACTATCTACGTCCAGTATTGAGACGCGTGCGTAGAAAACGGAAAAAGAGAGAAGGGAGAGAGAAGGTATTCTTTTTGATAGTGTGAGGAGGGGTGAGGAGTGTTTGTCCAAACGTAAGCAAAGAGCGGACCCCTCTTGAGAGATCTACTGACACCCTATCCTCCAGCATGGCAGACATCTCATCTCCCCAATGGCAGGCCATGTTGGACGCAGCGAACGGGAGCGAGAAACCGTTTTTTCCATAAACTTTATGAGGACATGATACATAGAGAGAGGAAGGCAGAGGCAGCAACCAAAGCCACAAGTATTGCTACACAAGTGGCCCTCCTCGAGGTTCCGGAGTCTAGTGAAGACCGGTTCAGAGAGAAGCTAGCTGCTGCCGTAGCAGCCTTGGTTCAATTGCGGACCTTGGAAGATCTCGAGTCCCGTGTGACAGCTCTAGAGCAGCGGAACCAAGAGCTGCAGGCTGAGATAGTCATCTTCAAACAATCCCAACTGGCTGCCCCCCGTACTCCTAATCCTCGACCTGCTGCAGTCCTAGTCTCTCACCCTAACACAGTCCTCATGCAGAGAGCAAGTGGAACTGTGATGAGCACAGGAACCGGTGCCGGCTCCTCAAGCGGTAGCGCCAACAGTTCTACACTGGTCCCAGTCCCAAACGCAGGAACATCAGCCCAAAACGCCGCAGTTCTTACTGGCGTACAATACAGCGGTCCCATGGTGGACAAGAGGGCGGTCACACTCCTGTCCAAGTACGACGGGAAGGGGGATATCACCTCTTGGATCAGCTCCATGCGCGCATACTTCGAGATATTGCGAACACCGCAGGAAGACCGAAGCATGATCATGGGCACAACTACGGAACCCGTCGTATGGAGTTTCATAGAACTCCAAGCTGTTACTGCAGGTTATGAGAGGATTGACCTAACTGAGTGGCTGAAAGTAACTCATGTACCGTCTATACGTACTCTTGAGGACCTCCTCATCGTGCAGTATCAAGATAAGCACGCTACGCTCGAGGCAAGGCTAAAGCTTGAGGCCCTCAAAGGCCAAAAGTGGAGGACTTCCATGCAGGCTTTGGAGCAGCACTTGACTGATCTGTTCACTACTCCAAACCTGAGTTGGATTGACGTGTCCTGTATGGATGAAGGAATGGGAGTGGCCCCTGAAGACTATGTCTCCCAACTAGGACTCAAGGACCATACGACCTGGCGTGAGCTACTGACGGATCTAGTCAACCTAGAAGCCAAAGACCTCGCCAGGTGTGCGAAGACACCCGCTGCAGGTAAAACCTTACGACGCAAGTGGTACAGAAGCAACAACCAGCTTGCCCTGCATGAACATTGGGAGGTTGAGGATTAGTCCTAAGCGGATGATCTGTCTCTAGATGACGATCTGGAGTCGGACTTCGCTATGGGTTGTTTTACATCAGCCCTTGAGTCTGACATCAATGAAGAAGAAAAATGTAATGCCTTCAAAATGACTGCTTCAAGCAAGGGGCCTAATCGTGGTTCGGGTAGGGGAACTATAGCACACCTCCCCAAGAATGCAAAGATCCCTGAGAAACCGGAGGATGCTTCCACCAAGCCTTGGGAAACCCTCCGCATTAGTCAAACGGAATGGGAGAAAAGATCCAAACTGCGCATGTGCTTGCATTGTCAAAAGCCTGGGCACGCTGTGCAAGAATATTATCGTCTACAGGGAAACAGGCAAAGGGCGTAGAAGAGTTATCAACACTCTCTACAACAAGGGAAGCTGAACAGTCAGATGCATGCCCCTCCAAGGAGCCTGAATCTGATCAACAACCTGCTCTTGAAGCCCGGACTGATGTTGAATCCAAGGTTGCCGCAGTCCCTGTACTTTACACTGAGCCTTGGGAGGAGACTAAGGAAGTCAACTTCCACTCTCACCTGGAACATTAGCTGCATCTCAAGCAGCAACGCCATGTTCAACGGCGTGTGGAACTGATCTTCTTTAAGCTGCTCATTAACCGCCGATACATCCGCATGCTGATTGATAATGGCTCAGATACTAACTGTTTTTCTCCTAACGGGATTCGTAAGGCGGGCCTGGGAATGAAGCAAGTGGAATTGCAGAACCCTTGTCAGACCCAGGTAGGCAACCAAGAGGTTGTCACCTCAACACATGTTGTCAAAGGTGTGCGCGTCACCTTTGACAAGGATCGCAGTGTCACACATGAGCTGAACTTCTACATCCTGGACAAGTGTCCTTTCGACTCGGTCATTGGCTTGGGCTGGTTAAAGGCTCATTGTCTAAGGGCCACATGGGCGGATACTCAGTTCGTGATGCAAAGGGGAACAAGCGTACCGTTCTATTGGACGAGACGCGCGAGTCCCCGGTGACTCTTTTGAGTGCAAACAAATTCTGCAAGTTTTTGCGCAGGCACAAGGAAGTTGAGCATGTGCATGCAGCCCTTACAAAGCCCCTTCATGTGCCTTCTACTTTTGCTGCATTTTCTACCTCGGAAAATAAGTCTACTTCTACTATCTCTACTTTTGTTCCATCTACTTCTACTGTAAGGAATCAATCTACTTCTGATCCAAGTACTTCGAATTCGGTTGTAATTGTTGTAAATTCTCAATCTGACTTTCTCTCTCCTGACGAGGATGATCCTCCACCTGAAGTCCCAACAAAAATCCGTCGTCTATTAGATCGACTTCCTGAAGTTCTGGCTGAACCTTGTGGAGTTCCCGAGCATCCGGTCAAACACAAAATCGATATAATAGAAAGGAGTGTCCCTCCAAAGGGATGCGTTTACCGTACAGAAGAAGGTGAGTTGAAGGAGTTGAGGAGACAAATTGACAACATGATTGATCGTTGATGGATTAGGCCTAGTGAGTTTGAGTTCGGTGCACCTGTCCTGTTTGTGCCGAAGAAAGGAGGCAAACTCCGGATGTGTATTCATTATCATGGCCTAACCCGTATCACCCGAAATAATGCTTATCCCTTGCCTCGCATAAATGATCTGCTAAATGTTGTAGGTGGGTGCAAGGTCTTCTCCAAGATCGACCTCAAGTCTGGCTACCACCAGATTGAAGTTAATCCGAGCGACCAGCACAAAACTGCATTCAAAACATGCGATGGGTTGTACGAATCCATCATTATGCCCTTCGGTCTTACGAATGCACCAGCCACATTTCAGTGCCTCATGGGCAAGGTTTTATGCCATCAGCTCAACAGGTTTGTTGTTGTTTACCTTGACGACATCTTGATTTTCAGCAAGTCCATGGAAAAGCACGTCAAGCACCTTAAGGAGGTTTTGCAGGTCCTCAAGGAGGCACAACTGTACCTCAACTTAGAGAAATCTGAGTTTGGAAGGGACAACGTCATCTATCTTGGGCACTGGTTGTCTCCAAACGTCCTTGAGCCGGAGGCAACCAAGGTTGAGGTCATACGAAAGTGGCCTCAACCGACGAACGTGCGCGAACTGCGTTCTTTTCTTGGTTTGGCTTCGTTTTTTTTTTTTTTTTTTTTTTTTTTTTTAAGCTCTGGGTTGATGCAAGAGTAGCTGATAAGAGCAGACTACTCTAGCATTCCCTGGGAGACTCTGTCTATTGGTGGGGAGCAGCACCTGCTGGAAAGCGGGTCCAACGTCCCTCACATTTGGAAAATAAATAATAGTGTTTCACAGTTGAAACAGGTCTCTTCACCCATAGTGGGGCGCCAGATATAACATTCATTTTCTAGCCTTTACAACTATTTTAAAAAAATGCTGATATAGAGGTCTAATCCTTCGTTTCTCCTTCTTCTCCAAGCGTATCCTTTCCATACCATGACAGCGGTACTACTGCATTCTGGGTAATGTGAAAAGGTACGGGAACTCTTGAGCATGGCGGAGAGATATTAAGGGATCCACCAAGGTCCATTCATTTAATTTCAACTTGTAGTTCCTGATGAGGTCCTGTTCCTCCTTCATTTCAGCACCCTCCCATTCCACCCTCCCTATTTTCCCCCCTTTCCCCCCACCCAGCCAGTTACTGCTGAATTTTTGGAATATTTACCGGAAGTTTGTGCCCAATTTTTTTGTCATTGCTCACCCACTCTCGAGACTAACAAACAAAAATGTTGCCTATGCATGGTGTGAGAAATGCGAGACTGCATTCCAAGCCTTGAAAGAGGCTTCGGTAAGTCATCCTGTGCTTTGCATTGCGGATCCCAACCTCATGTTCGTAGTCACTACGGACGCGAGCCCGTATGGGATTGGTGCAGTGCTGCAACAAGATGATGGCGATGGTCTGCGTCTACTCGAATATTACAGTAAACGCATGCCCAACCATAAGGTAGCTACCTCCACATATATGAGTGAGCTTTATGCCTTGCGAGAGGCGCTCACACACTGGAAGCACTACCTCTTGGGTCGACACTTTAAGGTTTACTCAGATCATCAGACCTTGGAGTGGATTAAAACACAAACTGGTCTCTCCCCGATGCTGACCCGCTGGTTGCATGACATTGATGTGTACAATTTTGAACTGAAACATAAGAAAGGTTGTTATAATCGTGTTGCTGATGCTTTGTCGCGTCATCCTGAGTTTTTGACTTGCCTTGTGAGCTAATATGACCTCCGAAGGGAACTGAAGGACGATCTGGTCGAACACACAACCAAGGATTCGGACCTTAGTCCCATCCTTGAGCAGCTCAAGGATGACCCTAGCAGTCAGCCTGATTTTCACGAGTGCAAGGGTCTTGTATTCCGCCAGTATGGGAAGTTTGATCGTTTGTGTGTACCCAATCATGCGCCGCTCCGGACTCATTTATTGGATTTGGCACATGGTCGAAGTGGACACTTCACCTTTGAGAAGACTTATGAAAGTCTTTTGCAGCAGTTTGATTGGCCGGGAAAGAAAGGATCTGCTTAGAAATTTATTGTTGAATGCCAAGTCTGTCAAAGAACCAAGGTCCATAGGCATAAGCCTTATGGCCTGCTGAAACCCCTCCCAATTCCTGATGGGCCCGGTGAGTCGGTCTCTATCAATTTCATGGACATGGGGAAGGTGAGCGAGGGAGGACGTTCACAAGTCATGGTCATCATGGATCGTTTTTCCAAATTTCTGAATCTGATTCCTCTACCTCCTCATGCACCAACTGAGCTTGTGATCGAAGAATTTCACCAGCAGTACATTCTGCAGTATGGACCCCCAAAAACTCTTGTGAGTGATCGGGACACTAGATTCATTAGTGTTGATTGGAAGGACTTCACTTCTCAGATCTACAACATTAAACTCAACAAGACTTTTGGTCGACACCCCGAAGCCAATGGATTGGCCGAGGAAATCAACCAAACTGTCATTCAACTACTTCGCGCGTTAATTGTTCCAGATCAGAACACGTGGGACAAGGAGTTACACAAAGTGAAGGGGTTGTACAACAACTCCATTCACTCTGTAACTGGCGTGACACCGAATCAGCTGTAATATGGTTGGCAGTTGAGCAATCCTCTTTCCTATCTGTTCCCCGAACGGTCCCCTGGTCTGACACCCGGCATGCCTGGCTACAATGCGAAGTATGCACGCTTGCTCAAAACTACTATCGCAGTGATGAACAAGTGTCATCATGCCATGATCAAACATGCTAACAAGTCGCGCAAAGAAGGGAACTTTGAAGTAGGAAGTTATGTATGGGTCAAAATGTTTGAGTTTTCTGACGAAGAGGGCGTATCACAAAAGCTTATTCCACTGTACTATGGCCCTTGGCAGGTTCTAAAGGTGGTAGGGGATGATTTTGATCCTTCGTATGTGATTGGCGTGCCTCCTCATCTGCGCACATATCCGGTCTTTCACGCATCCAAACTATTTCCACATATCGATGATGAGACTTTTCCCTTCCGAGATCCTATGATACCTCATCCTATCAACGATGGCCATGAAATAGACATAATTGTTTCCCATGAAGGAAGAGGGAGAAACAGACAGTACAACGTTCACTTCCTCTATCACCCGTTGAACGAATTCTACCGTCTTCGGGCCTTCAACAGACCTCCTTGCACAAGACGCTGAAGCAGCGCTTCCGCATGGCTTCCGCCTGAATGACTGAATGGCTGGGCGCAGCCTCTTGATTTATACTTTTGTGCTGCGTTGGTCTGCCCTGTACCCCTGGCCCATCGTGCACACAGTCCCAGACGGTACTTGCTGGACTGGACCGGACTGGGTGGACTGGGACTGCTGACTGTACTAGGTGGACTACACCACTTGACCACTTGCCTCTGCTTAACACAGGCTCACTCCGAAAGGCCACTTCTAGAAACCTCTAACTTGGCCTTTCGGTACTGTAGCAGCTGCGACTTTGCCCTTTCAGGTAAGTAGCAGCTACGACCTTGACCCTTCATGCCAGCTACGACCTCTAAACTGTCTAGACTCCTACCCTACAGGTCTACAGTTCGAATCCCTTCTACCATGTGACCTACAAAAAACTACCTACCACTGGCGGGCCTACAGGTAGCAGGTTCAAATCTACGGGTTAACACCGATACTGTACACAGGTAAGATGGGGAACTAGGGATCGAGCCCTGGGATCTGCTTCAGCTACTGCGAACTGGTGAATCTCGTTTCACTTCTGCCGGCCTAAATTCGAGGTCCTCCGAGAAAATCTCAGTCCAAGGCAGGGCCTTTACCTCTCTGTTGTCTCTCATAGGCCCGGACTATATCGGGAGCTGTCTCTAGAAGTTCAGATCTCGTAAACCAGCGGTCGTCTTCCGGTTCTTGATAACTAAAATGAACCTTGTACTGTTTCTGCAGACGACCCGTACCTCCAGTTTTGAAGACATCTTCAGCCACTATACCATCGATGTCATATCTTCCATCCATATCTGGTGGGATCATCGATCTACAGGATGGAAACTGGTCACTTGTTTGACAAGGTAATAACTTCGATGCATGGAAAACTGGGTAAGTGTGGAGGTGTGCTGGGAGTTCTATGGTATAGGACGGTCCATCTTYGCCGCCCTTGACTTCTAGAACGGGCCACGGTCCTCTATATGTGRGCAGTAACTTCTGCGAGATGTTCTCCTCAGGTGCAAACTCCTTAGAACTGACCCAGACTAAGTCGCCTACCTGGAACTGTGAGGGGCGACGATGCTTATTGGCTTGCTCTATCATCCTATGCTGGGCCTTCCTGAGGTTCTCTACAACAGTAGCTAGTTCTTTCTCGTGCTGTACAGCAAACTCCCTGGTTCCGGGCGGTAATCTGTGAACCTGATCCCAGTTGAGTCCCTCAAACGGTCTGCGCGGCCTAAAGGACTTGTGCAGTTCGTTGGGAGTGCGGCAGGTGGACAGATGTACGTTGTTATTATACGCACTAGCTACTTTAGGCAACCTCTCGTCCCAGTTAATCTGATCTGGCCTAATGTACATGCGCAGAACTTGCTATAGGATCTTGTTCATTTGCTCTGTCTGACCGTTAGTCTTTGGATGACGGTCGGACGACATCAACAACTTAGATCCATATACTCCCATGAGTTCTTGCCAGTTCTGGCTAGTAAAGCGACTATCTCTATCGCTAACTATAGATAGTGGGATTCCATTCTCACTCACCCAACAGTCAAAACACCTYTGTATGACTAAATCAGTACGTGCCTYTGAAGGCAAAGGAACAAAAACTGCGTACTTACTAAAACGGTCAACTATGACCATGACTTGGCTCTTGCCATGCCTGCTCTTGACTTGAGTGTCCATGAAGTCTATGGATACTGAGTCTCCCGGCTGATCCGGAATGGGCAAGGGTCTGAGAAGACCTAGCGGAGCACGCGTAGAAGTCTTGTTACGCTGGCAAACTTTACAACTGCGAATTTACTCTACGCAGTCATTCTTCATCCCTGGCCAGGTATACGCGCGCATCAGATTGGCTAAAGTCTTTTGCCAACCAAAATGACCCTCTGTGTCGTGGCATTCTCCCAGAATCAGACTACGGATCTCTTCACTACGGGGAATGCACAGGCGGTCAAATACATTAGTCTTCTCAAARAGCAACCCTTCGGTAGTGCGGTAGTTCGGTTCAGTCTCTGGGGCCTCTTTGACTTTCTTAAGGAGGTCACTGTAGATAGGGTCCTGCGCGTAGGCTTCTCTAACCTTCTGCTGCAGATCCTTTCCTATATCGATGTAGTGTACTATTGCCCCAAAGTAATCAGCTCTCCTACTCAGAGCATCCGCGGCTACGTTGTATTTCCCTTTGACTGGCTTGAGCTCAAAGTCGTACTGATCTATCTCTGCGGCCCACCTAGTAAGCTTAGGTGTCATCTTGGCCTGCGTCTTTAACCATCTTAACGTCTCATGGTCTGAGTAGACTTTGAAGTGTCTCCCAAGCAAGTAGTGCTTCCAGTGTTCTAAGGCTTGCCTGAGAGCGTAGAGTTCCCTCTCATAGGTAGATGTCATGACCTTTTCTGAAGGCATTCTGGCGGACATGAACTCTACGGGTCTATAACCATTGCCATCGTCTTGCTGTAACACGGCACCTATGCCGTACTGGCTAGCGTCCGTAGTGACGACAAAGGGCAAGGATGGATCGGCGACCTTAAGGACTGGATACTCTATCAACGCCTGTTTTAACTTCTTCATAGCAGATGTGCAGTCCTTATCCCACTTCCAGATGGTCTCCTTCTTGAGCAATCTGCGAAGGGGCGCAGCGATAGTAGAGAAGTTTCTCACGAACTTCCTATAGTAATGAGCTAAGCCCAAAAACGACCGCAACTCGGTCAGCGTGCGCGGTGTGGGCCAATCTCTAATCGCTGCGATTTCGCAGTCTTCTGGCTTGACGCCGTCTCCGTCTAAGACGTGGCCTAAATATAGAACTTGGGTCTTTGCCCAGTCGCACTTCTTTAGATTGATCTTGAAGTTAGCTTCTCTCAACTTCTCCAAGACCTGCCTGAGATGACCCAAATGTTCCTGGAGGGTCTTGCTAAACACTAAGATATCATCTAAATAGACAACAACAAATCTATCTAACCATGGCCTAAACAAATCGTTCATACAGCGCTGGAACGTCGCTGGCGCATTGGTTAGTCCAAAGGGCATCACTATAAACTCATAATGCCCGTACCTAGTCCGGAAGGCTGTCTTATAATGATCGTCAGGATGTACCTCTATCTGATGATACCCGGACTTTAAGTCTATCTTAGAGAAATACTTCGCCCCCTGCACTCGATCTAAGAGATCGTCTATCCTAGGCAGTGGCTCAGCATTCTTCACTGTAATAGCATTTAGACCCCTATAGTCTATGCACATTCTCAGCTCTCCCTCTTTCTTGGGAACAAAGAGAACAGGCACTCCAAAAGGAGACGAACTGGGCCTAATCCAACCCTTCTCGAGGAGCTCGTCTAATTGCTTGCGAAGCTCCTCTAACTCCCGTGGGGACATTCTATACACAGCGCCCTTAGGAGTTCTACTGCCAGGCTCTATCTCAATGCGGTGCTGGATGGGCCGTGGTACCACTCCTATCAGCGGCTCAGTTAGGTCCTTGAACTCTTCCAGCAGCTCGGCAATCGCAGGGTCCATTGACTTTTCTTCCTTAGGCTCAGTTACTGGCTTAACATAGGCAACAAAGATCTGTTCCTCTAATTTCTCCTTCTTCACTAATCTGGCGAATGCAGGCGCACTAAGGCAGCAATGTGCCAAGGGATTCTCTACTCCTGACGCATGGAACAGGCGGGCAGTCTTAGCCTCGCCTGACGAACTAGGGAGCCTACACTCGTGCTCCTTCAAATGGAGCGTGGCCCCGGTTGCCTCTCCCCAATCCATCCCCAGAACAATATCAAATGGGAGGTTGTCTTCTACGAGGAGAGTCAGGGAGTGGAGGACCTTCTCCACTTTCCCATCTTTCTCTAGGCGGAAATACGCCTGGACTCCCTCTACGTAATCCTCTACAACCATAGTACGATTGTCCGCGAGGATACTAACTATGGGGTCTGTTAGTTTCTGGACTTTAAGTCCCAGCTTCAATTTCTGCAGCGTTTTCTTCTTAATATAGTTGCGGGTGGCCCCTGAATCTACTAGGGCCCCTACTCTACCTCTAAAAATCTCTACATCTACCAGAATTAGCTGTCCTTTCTGTTCTTTCTTTATCTTGGCCCAGGCGGGCATCCTCTCCTTCAATTCTTCAGCCACGCCTGTGAGGGAGGTGTCTAAGGAGACCCTGACACAAGCAGTCTCTGGACAGTTGTCTAGACACCGGCCTGCAACCTCTGCCATAGGCACATGTGGTGTGGGAGTTTCCTGTCGGCTAGCGCTATGTTTCCCACATGGCCTTGTGGTAGGGGCAATTGCTACCCCTACCGGTGACTGCCTTTTGACTCCTGCGCAGCCGTCCGGGTCTCTCTGTACTTAGTACAGTACTTGATGATATGGCCCGGGTCACCGCAGAAAATGCACTGGCCCCGGTCCAACCGTTGTTGCCATAAGCCCTGGTCCAGACCCAAACTTTCCCAAGGCCTACCCTGAGGTAGCCCTGGGTGCCATCCACCTACCCTATAGGGAGACCTATTCCTAGGACGGTTTTGCGGGGGACCTTGACCCCTTCCTCCCACTTGGCGGTTTCCTCCTCTGCCGCCAACCCCCTGATCGCCCTGAAACCGGCTCCCTGAGGCCCGGCCCCCTCGGCCCTGGCCTCGTCCTCCTCCTTGCGGCCTCCCTCCGGCCGCAACAGCAGCGTAAGTTCTCCCCTGGCCCACACCGTTGTCCTCTTCCTCCAACCCCCACTCAATCTGATCGTAGGGGATCTCATCCACACTACCCTCATCTAAGGTTAGGACAAGGCTATCCTTAGTCTTCACTTGCCCTGAGATAGTGCGGCCCTTCCATTGCTTACCCTTGTCCAAGTCCTTGTGCCAGAAGGTAGACACTGACATAGACTTGGCTTCAAAAGCCACCACTTCACGACTAAGAGAATCATACATAGTGGTGGGATCTTCGCTCTTCGCGAAGAAGTGCCCTCGAAAGGCTTCGGGCATAGCCCGGTAGAAGAGGCCGACCAACTGGGTGTCTGTCACCCCGTGGTCAGGTACAGCCACTAGTTTGTCCATAGTGCTCTTGAGTGCCCTCGCACTCTTCCATTTGCGAGAATGGATTGTTTGTAGCCTGTCTGAGGCTTTAACACCGCGGGCGACATCCGCAAATCGCTCGCGCAGCAACTTCATGAACTCAGTGAGGGAGGTGAACGACGAGTAAGCACCTGCATCATCATTGCAGTTAGCGGCGCAAACGAGGGACCTTGCAAAACTGGCGGCCTCATCTCTAAGCGCATGGATCGCAATCAGGACGTGCTGATCCGGGGAGACCTGTTGCAAATGCACGTAGGTCTTGAAATCGGCCTCCCAGTTGTCAAAGTTTTCTTCCCTTTTTCCACTGTAGGAATCAGGGAATTTGACTTTGATTGGCTCCCTGCGAGGACGTGCCTCTTCCTCCTTGGGAGCTGCCGCCTTGACGCCTTCAATGGCGCCGACGTAGAAGCGTTCAGTCTTCTCGAGGCAATGGCTCACCTCGGCTCCTACTGCGCCTACCAGTTCACGAGCAAAGTCCCGAAACCCCATTCGCATCAAGCGGACGGCCATATCTTGACTCCGACTAAACTCATATTGTTGTTCCTGTACTCGGGCCAAACGCTCAACGCTCTGGCAATAATCGCCACTTTCTGTCGGAGGTCTACCTGAGGGGTCAACTGTAAAGTCAGTTTCTGCACCACCTCCAAATCTTTGACTGCCTCACTCGCCGCCTCCACCCTTCTTTTCTTTTCCCTCATCATCGCGAGTTTCCACTCCATCCTCTGCTCATCCTCCATCGCCTGCCGCTTTAGCACATCTGTTTCCGCTTCCCATTTCTTCAGGGCGGCTTCCTGCTCATCCTTGGGGATATACATCGCCACTTCTTCTTCTTCTCCCAAGGACAAGTTAGCGATCCACTCTGAAATCCTCTTCTCCATCTCATCATTGTTACTGCCACTGTACTGTCCTCTTTTCCTTTTCAGTGGCTGTTCATCTTCCTCCTCTTCTTCTTCCACTTCTTTCAACTTCGCCTCTTCTTCTCGCTTCAACCTTTCCTTCTCTCTGGCCATCTCCTCCTCTATCTTTTTTAACTTCGCCGCCTGCTCCTCCTGTAGGGCCTTCTTCTTGGCCTCCTTCTTCTCCTTCCTCTCCTGCAAAATGGCGGCCATTTTTGCCTCCTCCTCCTTCGTGTATAGGGCGTGGTGGACACGTGAGTGCGGGCCAGAATCCCAGGGGAAAAAGGAGACGCCAGAGGGTCCCCCACAAGGAGAACCCAACAAGTAGCCCGTACATCGGATAGTCATCCATCGTGGTGTCAGGTGTACGACAAGACCTACCCGGACGCGGACACCCTGACTGACTCTCTAAAGACCACTACTCAACACTACTCTAAGGCTGTCACGACTGAACCAACAGCTGATCAGGAGGCATTTAAGGAGATCCCCCAAACTCCGCAAGAATTCTTTAACGTCGCAGACAGGRCGACGTGATCAGCTTGGTTCTTCCTGGCGATTTCAGCCCCCAACTCAGCCGTTCCGGCCTACTGTGCCACACCGAGCAGCCCGCCGGTCTGTACCGGTCCTTGGAGGGGTTCGTATCCCTTGGGACAGTCGAGTCGTCAGACACAGATCATCAGCCTTACTAGGTCCGGTAGGGGAGTGGTTCAACCAGGCCTCAACACTTAAAGACGGCCTTCGTTTCAGCCTACAGCTCGGAGTTCGGACCCTCTACACTGAAACTGAGTAGACCTGCCGGACAGTACCGGTCATTGGGCTAAACGAGTTGTTTAACAAGCGCTCGCCGCTCATGCCCAGGTCTCCAGATACCAGAGTAGAGATTAGTCCTACTTAGTCCCGTGCAGGTTTGGCAGCAAGGCCCTATCCTTCATCCACAGAGTCCTAACACCTAGGACAGAAGAGACTCAATGCAGAAAGGGAAGACAGACAGACTCAGACTCAGCAAGTACCGTAGGGTGAGTGCACATCCACAGGGTAAGGGAATAGGCTTAGGGCTCAGCGAGATATCACCAACTCCAGCTTGGTCAAAATCCTGGTCAGCAGCTCCAGTCAACGCCTTGGTCAACGCTGAGTCGACGCGGACAACTCTTGGTCAATGCTCAGTCAACCACCTTGGTCAACACCCTGGTCAACCCTCTGATCAACCCTCTGGTCAACGCTCTGGTCAACGCTCGGTCAACCCTTCACCTCGGCTATGGCTGCCAGCACATTCACCTTCATCACCCTCGCCGCTTACTTCCCCTTCCTTCACTCTTCTTCTTCTTCACTTTCTCTTTTTTTTTTTTTTTTTTTTTGTATTCGCCCCCGGCTATGTCTGTCTTCTTCTTCGGTATCCCTCCTTCCGCACTTCTCTTCCTCTCTCTCCTCAGACCCTCCTTCTCTCTCTCCTTCGGTACTCTGTGTTGATGCTCAGCGGCTATGGCCGCTGTCTTCCTTCTCCACCGGACTACGCAACTCGCCTCACAGGTAAGTGACAACCAATCTTGGATCGCTCATCTCTCTCTCTCTCTCTCTCTCTCTCTCTCTCTCTCTCTC